GTAGACAGAGGAATAGGAGCTTTTGCCTGACCTGGAAGGAATTGTGCGTGTCTGCGCACATAGAGGTAGTGTGTGACAGGGATTGATGGGTGTGGATGGCGTGTGTGGGGGCAGTGACTGTGTGTGTCAGTGGAGGTGTAAGCTGCCACTGTCAGAGGATGAGCTGCTGCGTCTCCCTGCTTCTCTGCCCCCCCCCCCCACCACCACTTGCTGTCAGCTCTCTTCAGTTCTGTAGGAAATAGTGTGCACCCTGACAGCTGAGGTGTGCTACTAGGGATGGGGGGATAGATGTTACCTGTGAGAATGCTGGTCTGGACAACTGCTCCCTTCCATCACCTCCACCCCAAACACATCATTCTTTTCCCAAGCTTCCTGAAAGTAGTGGATATCCCCGCCCCCCTCCAAAGTCTGGAGACCCAGTTGCTGAGTCCTGGGAAGGAAGTGGTTACTACCAGTTTTCCATAGTCCACACACAATCTCCATCACATATACAGTCTCTAATATGATGTATAATCTCAACCATATCTGGCTTCCCCAGGCCAGCAGTGATCAAAGAGGAGGAAGTGGATCTCAGGAAGGGAAGAGGCAGACCATCAGACCTCCAAGAAAGCCCACCTCTTTGGGCCTGGGCTAGTGGCCCCTGGGATTCTTACCTTTGGATCTCAGATCCAGTTACCAGTTGACACCTTGGGAAGATAATACTAATCATATTCTACTTCTTCTCCCTAACAACTTTCATCACCTGACTTTGTCTCCATTTTCCCTCCACTCCCAAACACACTGAAAGGTTGATTCCTCTACCCGACTCTGAATCTCCTGGGTTTACAGGGCAGAGATTTGGGGTGATTCTAAATCTTTGGTCCCCTGTTTTGTTCAGTGTGTCTTTCAGCCACCTTCCCTTTGCCCTGCTCTTCCTTACAGCAGGGACCCTTTATATATTTGTTCCTACAGCCCTCCTCCTTGTGTCTACATGTCTCCACATTTAGGGATCTTTTCCAAATTTGTCTCCTTTCATTTGGAGAGTCTCTCGATATTCTTCTGGGGCTTCTTCCTCTAGGAATACCCCAGGGCAACAGTGAGGCCCACTGGGATAAAGAGAGGGAGTAGGGCTTCCTTTCTGCTTCCATCCAGAGGCTACTGCAACCCAAGGATGGGCAGGCAGTGCCAGGGCCACGGCTAGGTCGCTTCTCATTCAGGGCACAGGCGCCTGGTCGATGCCCCGCTGTCCGCCCCCCTCCAAGCCGCCCTTCTTCAGGCCCTCGCCCCCTCCGCCCTCCTGGAAAAGGCAAATTTGACATTTTTAAATCCCGAGCCTTAGAGGGATCGATGCGGCCCGGGGGCCCCGCCCGGGGTCGATATTCCTGATTGGGAAGCGGCCGCTGAGCGGAGCCGGGTGTAAATCACGCGGACTGACGGGGGGAGGGGGCTCCGGGAGCCAACCGCGTCCCAGGCACGTGGAGTCAGGAGGCAGGGTCCGGCCCCGGCGAACCCCAGGGCAGTCAAAGGACAGGCCTTAGAGACCGGAACACAAGCCCACCCAGGGCTCCCCTCCTCCCTTGCCCAGCTCTGCCAACTCTGCGGGCCGGCTCCGGTCTCGCTTCAGCGGCCGCTACCCTCCGTTGCCCCTGGAGCCGCCAGGGAGGCCGGTGCCGGAGCCAGCCATGCGGCGGCTCTTCTGTGGCCGCTCCCGCGGGGCCTGGGTTTCGGCGGTGGCTGTCACGAAGCCGACATGCTGGCCGGACCGAGAAGGGGCGGGTGGCGGGGGAGAGTTGGAGGTGGCGGGGTAGGCGGGGAGGATGGAGTGGGACTGGCGCGGCTCTGGCTCACTGTGGGCGCGCAACAGATGTTTGTGGAATTGAGAGACAGCAAAGTGACATGGGGCACCGAGCGGCGGGGTACCCCGGGCTGGAGGGCGGGGCCGGGCAGGGGGTGGGAATCCAGCCATTTAGAGGGGCTGAACTGAGATAGACGCCTCCCTCCCCATGACCCGGATAGTGAAGAACAAAAAAGAACGGGGTGAGCAGAGAGGTTTAGGCCCCAACCTACAATTGCCTCCACTGCCCCTGCCCCGCAATCCTCGCAGTTCTGTTGGGAAAACCGAGGCAGTGCGGCTAAGAATGACCAGGAAGGTTAAAAGCGGGATCAGCGACGAGGCTGGGCAGCAGCCAGAATTCCTGCGTGGGCCTCTGAATTCACCTGCCTGCCCCGGGTCCGCTTGTGGGTAAATACACCACCACACCCGCGGCGCAGCTCAGACCCTTGCTCCCACTTCAGCTTGTCGGATCCCCCGACTCCCCACCCCGCGCCAGTTTATAGAACAACAATTTGGGGAAAACAATCCGGGCCGAGTGACGGCCCTGTAATTGTGACAAAGTGAGTGCGGGCGACTGGAGAGAGCGCTAGGGCGGGAGCGCGGCGGGCCGAGGTAGAGGCAGCGGCGCCTCCCGCCCGCCCCGCCGCCCTCTCGTTCTCATTCCGGTCACCTCCCATCCCTCTCCTTGACTCTTCTCCAATTCTTCTCCTGCCGGTCCCTGGCGCCTCCCTTGGCTTGTTCCTACATCGCTCTTCCCTTTCCTCTCAGTAACAGCTCTTCTCCCACCCCCATCCCCGCCCCCGCCCCCGCCCTGCCGCAGCCCCTTCCCCGGTTCTCCTTTCCTCTCTCACTTCTCCCTTTCTCCTCCACCCTCCACTCGTTTCTCCACCTTTCCTCGCGCTCAGGTCGCCCTGGGGCCCCTGGCTCCCACTGCACAATCCGCTTCATTCCCTCTCCAGTCCCAGCTTCCTGAGCTCGAGTCCTGGGTCTCCTCTCAGGGAGGACAGAGCAGCTCTGCACTTCTGGTTTCCTCCGCGCCTAGGGGCCGGAGCAGCCTGCCCCTTTCCTCCCCCTCCCGCCACTGCCTTCTCCGCCCCTTTCTCTGCGCCCGGAGCTAGTTTGTTTGTGCAGCGGCGGTCGCCGCCAACTGAGCTGTTTGCTGAGCTTAGCGCTTCGACGCGCAGTGCCGGCCCAATTAAGTCTCATTCATTATTCAGCGCCCAGGTCCGTCCCTAACTCCAGCAGGCAGCTTCCGCGCCGCCTTGGGGCCCCTCTCAACCGTGGCCCCTCAATGCGTTCTAAAGCTGTATGGAGCGCCGCCTTCCCTCCCCCGGCGGGGATAAGGACTGAGGGAGCTGGGAGTGAGGAGGGAACAGAAACACTCTGCCAACTGCAGGGAGGTGAGGCTCACAAGCCCCAGCCCTTGCCCAACTCAAGGCTGGGAGACCTTGGGGTGCCAAGCCTTTCCGGTACAGAGAAGGAAACAACCCCCCGAAGCAGTGTGACTTGGCCAAGGTCACATAGCAGAACCAAGATTGGAGCCCATGCTACTAAAATGAAGGCATCTTTGATCCCAGCTCCATCACAGAATCGAGGTGGGAGGAAGGCAGCCTACTCTCTAGTTGCGACCTTGTTCTCCTGGTGGGACGCCCCTCACCCTCTACTTCTTTTTGCTACTGGTTCTCCCTATTGCAATAGCTGGTAGGATACGCCAACTTGGGGCTCCTGCTGGATCGAGAGGCTACTCATGTCTCAGGCACAGGTCTAGATATAGTGCCCCCTTGACTGGCACGCCTGGAACGGAGCAGTAAGGCAAACTCCTGTGTGTGTGTGTGTGTGTGGGGGTCCCTCTCGGCAGACAGCCTGTCCGTGGGTGTCGCTGCTGTAGAAGAATTGGAAGTGGAGTCATCCAAGGTAGTCTTGAAGGACAAGTAGGGAGAGGGGAGAGTGCAGCCTGAGGTGAGAGAAAAGTCACCCTCCCATGTATAGGGGTGGAAAGGGGCGATTTAGGGCCTATTTTAGGCTGCCTTCCTCCCTATTTTTGCGTTGAAGGGAACTGCCTTGGGCTTTTTGCCGGGGCTACTGGACAAGGTGAGTCGGGGGACCCGCCCGGCCCTTTTGTAAGCGGCAGCGCCACCTGGCGGCCGCGGTGCCTCGGTGCCGCGGTGCTGGAGCGCTAGACCTGGAGTGGGGCACTTTTCCCGCCCCTTTGAGCCTGGTGAGGCAGGATACGCCCAGAAAACCTTAAACTGACTTGATCCGAGAGGGCGGGTCAGGGGTGCTCGAGGCTGACTGGTGATCCAGAGGGGGCCGGAAGGGCCTCGGGGAGGGGCCTGGCCCCAACGACACGACTTCCGTGACACAGCAAACAGAAAAAGGCAAAGTCCATTTGGATGGAAGTGGGAGCGGAGTGAGAGGGGCCATTTTGACTCTGTGGTCCAAGGAAATGACTGGTCTGATGCACCTGGGAGCCGGGGTACCCAGGTATGGCCGCTCATCTTCAGACTAGCAGGAACTGTCGGTCACGTGGCCCATTCTAGTAGAGGGGAGACCTGGCACACTTTGGCATCTGGCTTGATATTCTGGGGACTCATGGCTACTTTGGAGAGACTTTCCAAGTCGGCCCTGGCAGGAGGTGGTTGAATTGTGGGGTGCCAGGGTCTAGGTCAAAATGTAGTTTTCCAGAGCTGTTTAAGTGAAGGGAATTCAGGACCTTTTTCAAATTTGACCTGTGGGAAGATTTCATGGCCTGGAGAGCTGGGAAGGCTGGAGAATTGCTAAAACCTTGGCCAAATGTCTGAGGGCAGCCATAGTCGTCGGAGTTGAATTGGGGGATAGGAACCTTCAAAATGTGTAGGAACTTTAGAAGGGCATGCTATTCACTCCACTCCATTGAGTCATTTCCAGGTCAATGGTCTGAGGGGAGGTCTAAAATTCAAGCTTGTGATTTTTTTGTACCTGTGCTGAGTTCTCAGTTGCTCAACTCAAAGCATTTAAAAGCTCTATTCTCTCCTAAGTTTGGAATCGTTGTAAAAAATAGACATGAAGTGCTAGACCAAAGGATATAGAATGAACCAGCATTTCAGGGACACTCAGGAAGATCTGGACTCTATCAGTGGAAAGAGAAATGGTTACTGTGTTGGGATCTGGATATAGTCTTAAGGCTGCTTTTTTTCCCATCTCCTAGGGTCTAAGGATAACTCTGTGGCTATGATGGCCATGATTCTCAGAGGACCTCAAGTTTCTGCACTCTGAGAAATGTCAGGTGCCACTGGACTTGTTCTGAGACCCTTTCCCTAAAGGATGGCCAAGGGGCTCCTGGTGACCTATGTCCTCTGGGCTATAGGGGGCCCTGCTGGGCTCCACCACCTGTACCTGGGCAGGGACAGCCATGCACTGCTCTGGATGCTTACCCTAGGGGGTGGTGGGCTGGGCTGGCTCTGGGAGTTCTGGAAGCTCCCAAGCTTTGTAGCTCAGGCCAATAGAGCCCAAGGACAAAGACAGAGTTCACGAGTGGGGACACCCCCTTTGAGTCCCATTCGCTTTGCCACCCAGATAATAGTGGGCATCTATTTTGGCCTTGTGGCTCTCATTAGCCTTTCTTTCATGGCCAGTTTCTATATTGTGGGACTCCCACTGGCAGTTGGCTTAGGAGTCTTGCTAGTGGCTGCTGTTGGCAACCAAACCTCAGACTTTAAGAACACTCTAGGGGTGGCATTTCTTACTTCCCCTATCTTCTATGGCCGCCCCATAGCTATTCTGCCCATCAGCTTGGCAGCCAGCATCTCAGCCCAGAAGCATCGCCGCTACAAATCTTCAGTTGGGTCAGAGACACTCAGTGTGCGGCTCTACCGCCTAGGCTTAGCTTACCTTGCTTTCACGGGCCCGCTAGCATACAGCGCCCTCTGCAACACAGCTGCCACCCTCAGCTTTGTGGCAGAGACCCTTGGCTCCTTCTTGAACTGGTTCAACTTCTTCCCCCTCCTTGGCCGCCTCATGGAGTCTGTCCTCCTTCTGCCTTATCGTGTCTGGAGGCTGCTGGTGGGGGATCCTGGCTTCGGCAGTGGCTACTTCCAGGAGTGGGAGAAGCTCTATGAGTTTGTTAGCAGTTTTCAGGATGAGAAGCGTCAGCTGGCTTACCAGGTAAGGCATTCTTTCCTTTCATTCCTGTCTGGGAGTTAGCCTAAGCCTTATTGGAGCTAGTGCCCTTTATGTGGAAGCCCTGATTTCATGCCTGCTAGGTCAGGCCCCAGAAGGGTGTCCTGGCTTCTTTTGGTGTCTGTGCAATGGGTGAAGGTGCAGAGGCTCTAACAGTGAGTGGGGAAAAATTTGTATTTTATTTCTTTTTATTGAGGTATAACATATAAAGTATACTAATTTTATATATACACCTATGTAACCACCGTTCAAGTCAAGGTATGGAATATTTCCATCCCTAAGGATATCCCCTTGTGCCCCTTCCCAAACTATACTCTTTTCCTTGGAGTTAACCTCTATTCTGACTTCTGTTACCATAGATTAGTATTGTCTGTTCTTGAACTTCATATAAGTGGAATCATTCAGCATGTACCCTTTTGAGTCTGCTTTCATTCAACATTGTGTCTGTGAGATTTACTCATATTGTTGTACACAATTGTAAATTGCTTGTTTTCTTGTTGAATATAGTATCCCATTATGTGCATATACCTGAATTTATGTAGCCACTCCATTTGGGTTCCGGTATGGGACTATTCTGAATAAAGCTGCGATGGACATTCTTGTTTGGTGGACAACATGTTTATTCTCTTGCAAGGAGGAGATCTTGTGAGGGACGTGAAGTTCCAGGTTGGAAAATGGGCAGCTGTGATTAAAGGCAAATTCTGGTTTTTGCCATAAGATGCAGAGCTTGTCCATGTTTCTAATTCTAATGTGAGGCTGTAATCTAGGCCTTTTTCATGGTCAAGTAGGAGCCAGTCTCAGAGATATTACAGCCCGATGTCAGAAGGGAACAGAGAAAGACCCAGGTACCCTGACAACTTATGGGATTCTAATTTGTCAGCTTCTGTTTCCCTAAGGTTTTGGGTCTCTTAGAGGGGGCAACAAATGAAGAAATACATCAGAGATACCGGGAGCTAGTGAAGATCTGGCACCCTGACCACAACCGGCACCAGACAGAAGAGGCTCAGAGGCACTTCCTGGAGATCCAGGCTGCATATGAACTCCTGAGTCAGCCCAGGAAGCCCAGGGGATTCTAGAGGTGAGAAGAAAACTTCCATTTGTGGATAGACTCTTCCTGGCATAGCTGGGCAGCTTGTCCCAGCCCAGCTTTGCCCACAGAGGGTACCCAACAGCATTAAAGAAACTGCTTATAGTGGAGATGAGAAAACCTTAAAGGGGTGAGAAAGCTTTTGTGGTGGAAGAATGTATTTATGTATTGAATTTCTGAGTTCTTGGCTCTTGTATTCCTGACTATTTTTTTCTTAAAACTATATAGTGAAATGAAAGACATCATAAAACCAATAAAATATCTTTTAGCGAATATACTGCCTTATCCCACCCCTGGTACATTGATGAGTGAGGCAGGAAGGTTATTTAACTTTTTTTTTTTCCAAACGTGTGAAGCACTGGATTAGAAGATTGAAGGAAAAATATGAAGGTTCTAGCCCTGGCCAGTTTGGCTCAGGACCAATGAGTCGTGGGTTCGATTCCGATTAAGGGCATGTGCCTCGGTTGCAGTTCGTCCCCGGCCCTGATCGGGTCATGTGGGAGGCAACCAGTTGATGTGGCTCTATCACGTTGATGTTTTTCTCCCTCTCCCTCCGTCCCACTCTATCTGATGATAACTGAAAAAGTATCCTCGGGTGAGAAATTAAAGGTTCTAATATTTTACAAGTTATCCTGTGACAAAAGGTATTTGATATATTCTGTGGATTACTAAAAGGTAAGACTGATGTTAAATTTCAAAATTTCAGAAAAGTATTTGAGTTTCCCTTATAGAACTTTATAGGAGCTACACTTTCCCCAAGAAGGAACAAGTTGCTGTGGACTAGGGGGTAGTCCCAATCACAGACTCTTCTGCTTGGATGACTATTGTGGAGAGCCCTCAAACTTTACATGGGTGGTTGGACTGGCTGAATTCTTAGGTTGTCCCCCAATTTAGTATCTGATTGTGAACTACAGCATCTTGTTCCCTGGGAGCTTAGGTCTGGTGGGGGATAATAACACAGGTACACAGATATCAAAGTCCACCTCCTTCAGTGTTTTGAACTGTCGTTAGAGGCGTAAATAGAGTGCATTGGGATATTAGAGAAGGGACTGATGGCATTGTTTTATAAGAAGTCATAAAAAAAATTCATGATTTAAAAAAAATGTATGTTTTTATTTACTTTTTTAGAGAGAGATGAAGGGAGAGAGAGATAGAAACATCAATTGGCTGCCTCCTGGGCGCCCTCTAATGTGCCCTGACCGGCAATTGAACATGGACTTCTCAGTCCATGGGATGATGCTCAATCCCCTGAGCCACATGAACTGGGCCATGATTTTTTTGTTCGTTTAATCCTTACTCAGAGATAATTTTCCATTGATTTTTAGAGAGAGTGAAAGGGAGGAAGGAAGGAGGAGAGAGAGAGAGAAACATCTGGTTGTCTCCCACAGGTGCCCCCAGCATGCCTGCCATCCAAGGATCAAACCCACAACCCAGGTACGTGCCCATGCCCTTGACCAGAATGGATCCCCCACCCCAACCCTTTGTTGCTCAGGCCATCCCTCTAACCACTGGCCAGGATGAAAAATTCATGATTTTATGTCTCATATGCCTTTTTCAAAAAACTGATTTACTATTTTATTTATTTGTTTGTTTATTTATTTATTTATTTATTTATTTATTTATTTTTATTGTTGGAAGTATTACAGATGTCCCCCTTTTTCATATGCCTTTATGGGAACTTTGGGGAAACCCTAGGGAACCAGCAGCTTGAGAATCTCAAAGGAGCCTTACTTAATCCCCAAGTTACTAACCAAGTGTGGAAGAAACAGTTCATGATACAGAGGAAGGCTGGACACCAGGCACTGGATTTCTGTTTAAAAAAAATTTTTTTTTTCTTTATTGATTTTAGAGAGAGAAGAAGGGAGAGGGAGATAGAAACATCAATGAGAGAGAATATTGATTGACTGCCTCTTGCATGCCCTCCACTGGTGATTTGGCCCACAACCTGGGCATGTGCCCTGACCAGAAATTGAACCGACGATCTCTTGGTGCATGGGTCAAAGCTCAATCACTGAGCCACACCAGCCAGGCAAAGGGCTTTACTTAATTTAGAAAATTATTTTTCTGTCCTCAAATTTTATTTTGTTACAAAAATATAGGTATATTTTAATTTATCAAATGGGAACTATTGATGAGCTATTTCTATTTTCCAACATGAGCAAGGCTACAATATCTTTAAATATGTGTACTGGTGCTTTTTGTTTTTTTGAGGTTAGATTCCAATAAGCACTGAAGTAGGGTCAAACAGAATACATATTTTATTTTTTTAAATATGTTTTTATTGATTTTTTAGAGAGAGAGGAAGGGAGAGGGAAACATCGATCAGCTGTCTCCTGCACGCCCCTACTGGGGATCCAGCCTAAAACCCAGGCATGTGCCCTGACCAGGTAATGGAACCAGGACCTCTCAGTCCATGTAACTATGTTCAATTCGCTGGGCCACATCTGTAGGGCCAGAATACATATATAAAATTTTTATTGAAAATTCAGGAAAATATAACAATTTATATGCTCACTAGCAGTGTAAGAAAGTGGCTTTTTCTTTATAACTGGCATGGACTGTTAATCACTCTTCAATTTTTGCCAAGGTGATGGGTGAGCAATAGTATTTGCTTACTTTGATTTGCCTTTCCCTGACTCCTAGGGAAGTTTGTTTTCAGTGAATTGCCTGATCTTATCATCTACTTTCTTTTTTTTTTTTTTTTTTAAGAAATGTGTTCTGTCCAGCCAGTGTGGCTCAGTGGTTGAGGATCGACCCATGCACCAAGAGGTCGCCAGTTCGATTCCCGGTCAGGGCACATGCCCAGGTTGTGGGCCCAATCCCCAGTTGGGGACATGCAGGAAGCGACCAATCAATGTTCTCTCTCATCGATGTTTCTATCTCTCTCTCCCTCTCCCTTCCTTTCTCTCTAACATCAATAAAGAAAAACAAAACAAGAAATGTGTTCCTATTTGTCTTCATGAAACCTATTTTGTTGTTATCCTTGCTTGGTAGAAACCTTAACACTTTGTCTTATGTACTGTCGATATTTCCTCTAGTCTATGACTTGTCTTTTGTTTGAACATGGGTTTTATTTTATTTTTTAAAAATCTTTATTGTTGAATGTATTACAGATGTTCCTCATTTTCCCCCCATTGATCCCCTCATCCCCACTCCCGCCCCCCTCCTGCCTTTTCCCACACTGTTGTCTCTGTCCATTGGTTATGTATATAAGTACTTTGGTTTATTTCTTCCCACACCCCCAACCCCTTTCCCTTTGAGGTTTGTCAGTCTAGCAATGAATTTGTACTTCTTAATCCCTTCACCTTTTCCACTCATTCCCCCAACCCTCCTTCCATCTGGCAACCAACAAAATGTTCTCTGTATCTATGAGAATGTTTCTGTTCTGCTTGTTCATTTTGTTTGTAGATTCCATTGTCAATACATATGTATTCATTGCCATTTTGTTTGTTCATATATTTTATCTTTTTCTTCAAAAAGACCCTTCATCATTTCATATAATAACAGTTTGGTGGTGATAAACTCCTTTAACTTTTTCTTGTCTGGGAAACTTTATATGGCCATCAATTCTAAATGCCAGCTTTGCAGGATAGAGTAATCTTGGTTGTAGGTTCTTGCTTTTCATCACTCTGAATATTTCTTGCCACTCCCTTCTGGTCTGCAAAGTTGCTTTTGAGAAATCAGCTGACAGCCTTATGGGAACTCCCTTGTAGGTAACTAACTGCTTTTCTCTTGCTGCTTTTAAGATTCTCTCTTTGCCTTGAACCTTTTGCATTTTGATGATGATGTGTCTTGGTGTGGGCCTCTTGGGGTTCATCTTGTTTGGGACTCTCTGTGCTTCTTCGACTTGTATGTCTGTTTCCTTCACCAAGTTAGGAAAGTTTTCTGCCATTATTGTTTCAAACAGGTTTTCAATTTCTTGTTCTCTCTCTTCTTCTTCTGGCACCCCCAAGATGCGAATGTTGGCACGCTTGAAGTTGTCCCAGAGGCTCCTTACACTATCCTCATTTTTTTGGATTCTTTTTTCTTTTTGCTGTTCTGATTGGGCGTTTTTTGCTTCCTTATATTCCAAATCAAGGCTTGCTTCTTGGATTTCTGTACTCTACTATTGAATCTGTGTGAATTATTCTTTATTCCAGTTAATGCCTCCTTCGTTTCTGACTGTGCATCCATCATTTCTGACTGGTCCTTTTTTTTATGCTCTTGAGGCCCTCATTAAGTTCATTGAGCATCCTTATAAGCAGTATTTTGAACTCAGCATCTGTTAGGTTGCTTATCTCCATTTTGCTTAGTTCTTTTCTTGGGGTTTTGTTCTGTTCTTTCATTTGGGACCTGTTTCTTTGTCTCCTCATTTTGGCTGCCTCTCTATGTTTGTTTCTGTGTATTACTTAACGAGAGGTATAGGGCTAGCGGAGACCAGATGCTGCTTGTTTGAAAGAATTTAGGAAAACCTGAAGCAGGATCCAAGACAGGCCAATCCTATGGTAAAGCAACTGGCAACAGCTTGGGTGGGCCTGAAAGCTGGGTGGGGCAGGGCCTCAGGGAATCACCAGGACGGGGCTACCAGTGTGAGCCAGGTTGCTGGAGTCCCAGATATGGTGACTGTCTGCCGCCCCAGGGAAGGGCTCACCAAAGGAACAAAGGCCTCTGACAGCACGTCTGTCCAGGAGAAAGCCCCCTCTCCAGCCCTCACTCCAGTGCCAAACCGCTCAGTTCTTCCCTGTATCTCTCTGGTGCCCCTCGAGCTGCCTCCCCTTCAAGCTTAGAGGGAGTGAGTCCGATAAGTCTGTGCGCGGGCCCTTTAAGGAGCTGCCTGGGGCTCCAGCCGCCTCAGCCTCCCTGAGCCTCAGTTCCCGCTGGTTTTTCCAGACAGAAGTTATGGGGACTTCTCTTCCTGGCACTGGAACCCTGAGCGGGGTGTCTGGTGTGGGATGGAGACCCCTCAGTCCTCAGAGAGGACCTTCTCAGCTGAGGTGTCCTCCTGACTTTTATCTGCCACACGTGGGTGTGGGACCAGCCCAACCGCCTGCGCCACTCCTATCAGTGACTGCTGCTTTAATTCCGTAGTTGTAGGACTTCCATTCAGCTCGATTTAAGGCGGTTTTGAAT